TGACCTTTGATTTGTCCTCCTTCATCTCCTTCCTATTTTGTTTTCATTGAAACAATATATATAATTATATATGCCTGAAATGCAAAAGTTCTGTAAACTGATAAAGAAAAATAAATATGGGGCAGTCGCAGATTGAGATTGGAAGCAGCCAGAGCCGGTTGAAGAAGATTAGTTGCAGGAAGAAAGATAAAGACAGGGGAGGTCATCAAAATCAGCATTTGCATTACCCTTACAAAGTCATCGAAATTACTCCCCCTCCCAAGAACCTTGGCATTCGATGCTTTCCTCCAGTAAGCAGCCTTTTATTTTTAGAAGATTCTCTATCGATTCTCTTGTACTTCTATTCTTATCAGTCTTGTGTTTTTTCTTGGTTGAGAAAGTTAAGGATTTTACCAATTTTGAAAAGCTATGTATACTAGTATTTGCAAGAGAGGTTCCATATAAAGTGGAATTGCAATGGCTCCATTGATTTAGGTTTATTCAGTTATCTGTTCAGGGAGCCAAAAATTTAACTCTAACCAGCTTATTTGAAAAGGGTTATAACAGAGACATTGTAGGGATTAAGACTCATCATAATTTTCATTGGCATTCTGGGCTTAATTCTTCTTCCTGAGATCAAATTTTCCTACTTCTGGAATCAGGTCATATGATGCTTAAAAGCTGGAAGCCAGAACTAGCTGTGCTCTATGGATGATTTGTTCTTTGATTTCACATTCACATTTTCACAGTTTGGCATCATTGTAGATCCCCTTTTTCTTTCTAGCTTAAGAGATCGTTTAGTGAAGAAGATACTTTTTAACTTTCATTAGCTTTCTGAGAGTAGTTTGTTGTATCATTTCCTGTTCACAATAGAAACCAATTTGGTTTCAATAACCTAATTTTCAAAAAGTTCTTCAACGCCATGAAATTCTGTTGAGCTTAGGGTCTGATTTTACCGACAATCTTCTTTAATTCGCAAAAAAATGGGATCTGGATGGGAAAAGAAGCTTAGGAGGAAAATGACTGTAAATAACTAGCAAAGGTCTTCTTTGATGCCGTACCATTATATAGAATTCCATGGGTATCACTGTGATTATACACCCTCAGAAAGTGCCGGTTTTCACCTAAAAACAAGATTGTTCAGTGAAGGAGAGCTTTCAAAGTTAGTTTATTAGCATTTACTCTCCTCGTGGCTTCGCTGCTGAAGTTTAGGCTTTTGGTTATACTTCACTAGGGCATTGAGGAGGTCAACGGGCAATGGGTATTAATAAAGATTATGAGATCAGAAGTTGTGGCAGAGGAACTGAGGGCTTTAGGAAGTGAATATACATCCCTTGTACCTGATTGTGGAAGAATGCAATATATAGACTCTCTTCTTTACTGTGTTAGCTAGTAGCCTGAATGTATTCTGCTTTGTTCTTTTTGTTTATTGGCTTTGGGTGTACTAGGTTTAGCGTCTTAAGCATCCTACATGCAGAATCTATCAACAACAAATCAATTTCATGATTGCATTTTATTCACTCATGAACATGTGATAAAGGCTTAATTGTCCCTGATATTGTTGTAGTGTTTCCACATGAAACAGTCAGCAGGTTAGTAGTTGATGAAAAAGAAATTACATGGGGCTCAGCATATATGCTCTGATTAGGGATCAGTTAATCATGTTTTTTTCTGTAATGTTACAGAATTTGCAGTGCGGAGAGAGTGTAACAATTGAAGGCAGGGCCTATACAGTGTCATCTGTAACTCATCGATACCAGCTCAGAAAGGGAAAATATGAGCCTAGTGAAAAGAGGCTTGATGTACTGTCCACCGGAAGATACATTTTGAACTTGTATTTGGAAAATCTACTGGAAAATTCTTAGTATTCTATTGCATTCAGCTTATGCTTGACTGTAAAAGTGAACTAGAGGGCGGGTTGAAATCGAATGGAATTGTGGCTTTGTACTTCATTGTTGTTAGACTGACACCTTAACAAACGATAAACTCCAATATCACGCATGACTGACATGCTAAATGTGTCACTTTTGTGCATTTTTTTGGTTGATGGATGATGAGAATATCCTCATTCTACCCAAGTAAATTGCTAATGACCTTTTGGGCTAATTCATTCTGGAAGACACCCATCCAATTGTACTTCAGAACAAATCAAGTTAATGGATGAAATTGAAGCACGATGGTGTTAACAAGAATCAATACGATCTAACTGAAGACGTTTCAGCGTAGGAGAAGAAACTGTATTCAAATTAGCTGGCCGTCGGTCAACGATTCCTTCCAAATATGAGGGACTGATCCGATTCATATCTTACGAAATCTAGTCCCAGAAACAAGTTTTGGGTGAGAAACAGCATACTTGTTTAATGTCTAAATGTAATTAGAATGAAATTTGAATAATTTGTGATACGATAATTAGGATTACAATTTTTCTAAAATTACATCATTAATTACCAAAATAGTCCATATTGAACTTTGTATACCGGCATACCGCAGATACAAGTTATACTTGCTGTGTCCAACAACAACTCACTTAAGTTTTAATGTAAAGTGAGATTTGATATACTCCTTCCGTTCCATAATTATTGTCTATTTTGCCCAAAAAATTTTGTCCCAAAATTATTGTCCAATTTGACTTTTTATGGATTAAGTTACACATTTGTCCTTAGTAAAAAACATTATCCATAAAATCTTAGTGGTTAAACAATTACTTATGTAGGGGTATATCCGGTTGTTTAAGGTAAAATATAATTAATTTTGACTAAAAATAAAATCTTTCATTTTAGTAAAACTGGACAATAATTATAGGACGGAGGGAGTATTTGTTTGGGGAAAAAAAAAGAAGTAAGAGGAATCAATTGCATCACATTACATTTTCTTTTGGAACATCAATCTCCTATATATTTTTTGATCTATAGCCATAAAGGATTAGCGTAAAAAGAACGGTTTTCAATCCAAAATCAAAATCATAAACAGAGATCCTTGTTGATCAACAGACCCAGCTATGAAATGGACGAAATTGGTCAGGATTAATTTCAAGAATCTTGCTGATTTGACTACGTTGTTATTAGCATCTGTCTCATTTATTAGACACCAAAACTATTCATATTAAATTTTTACTGATCGGATCCACACTTATGTTCGCCGAAAGCAAGAAAAACAAAACCCACTGTACCTTGAGACACATAAACTTCCAATAATCCAATAATTAATCCTTCAAAGTTCTAATCCAAACCAATAAGTTATACATAGTAACATGTGATCAACGACATAAAAAGTGATTATATATCTGCTAATGGATAACGTGGAAGTAGTCGGAACGTGGTAGACATAGCCATAAAAGAAAAAAGAAAAGCACAAGTCAATTTTAGCAATTGAGGGAGATGGATTGTGTTCTGTCCCTATCGGACAAATATCTAATTTCTTTCTAATCAATCAGTAATTCTAAAATTCCAACAATGCTGGTATTATAAGTAATCAACATAATTAACCAAAAATTTTAATCATAAGTAAACAAATGTTGATTGCCAAGACTAGATCGTGTTTTTGGACTGTTCTTAGGTCACAAAATTGAGCAACATTAATAATACTTCCTCCGTCCCATAATTATTGTCCAATTTGAGTTTTTATTTCTAGTTCAAATTGTACTAAAAGTGAAATCTCAAACTGGACAATAATTTTGGGACAGAGGGAGTATTTATTACTCCTATTATTATTAATTAAATAAATTGATTTTTAGTATAGGAACTTAGGAAGGACCAAAGACAGGCGGTCCACATGCGATGGCCGCGGCGGCTCTAGTTCACGTGCCACCATGTGGGTATTTCCGCAATTGTGGTTAACAAAAAAAACGGGCCTATATCCTCTTAATCTCCTTCTTCTTAAGCCCCCTTAACATATTTGGCCCATGTGATTATCCCTTAATTTTTACTACTATTTCTTTATCTCCCAATCATTCGGCATAATACACCCAAAAGGATGCCATTAGGGTAGGTTTTTTTTAGGTATTACTTCCTACCTCACCCTCATCGTGTACTAACTTGGTATGGTAATGCTTTGTTGCACCATTTACATCGTTTATTATTTCTTGCATGATTTGTACTCCAAATTAATTTGTTAACTCATATCATAGTTTCCACACTCATCTAGCATCGCTTAATCAAATTGCCAAGCCAACTACTACTAATCTAATCCAGTCATTTAACAAAAAAATTGCTTGTTAATTGCGAGTGACGGTTATTATGACGGTAATGAATTAAAAAAATATTCAGATAGGTAAAGCTGGGGGAAAAAAATAAGAGAGGAAAACTTTCTCCATCGATTTGTCAATTTATTGAGCTTCGAATGTTTCACAATAAATTCAAGTGTAGGAGTGGTGTTAGCCATTATGAGAAACTTTTTTGTTTGGAGAAGATTTGGGTTGTGTGATGGACGAGAGGGAATGTTATCCATGGACAAAAAAATGAGACTTGGAAGCAAGAAAAATACTAACACCAATTGATGCAGAAAGAAAGTAACCAATCATCAAATCTAATAATAAATGTGCACCCAAAACCAATATAAATTTGTCATTTTACTTATAACCATAACATAGAAATTAAATACAATGATCTCTCCAACATGATGCAAACTTTTTGAGAATTTAGCATGCTTTTGGAAAGCCAAGTGCCCCAAAACAATCAATATAATTAATGATCATTACAAAACATTAGGCCTGATCCAATATCATTAACCCAAAAAAAAAGAAAAATCACTTATCTATCTCTTTACTTTCCACTAAAAAATCATCATAAACAAATCCAAAAAGGGCAAGTAATTACAGTTCAAGCACTTTCCATCCTCCTGCATTTACACAGTTGAATGAACACTAAACAATTCAGATCAAACCAATTTCAGGAAGGAAGGAAGGTCGCCAAACCTTTCCAAACTTGCCACAAAATCCGCAAAATTTTTATTTTATTTTATATAAAACAAGAAGAATTATATAGCAAAGAACAACGAAAAATGTTACCAAAAAAAGAAAAAGGAAAAAAGAAAAAGTGGTATGGACTATGGATTAGTGAAGAAGAGAGATTTGTTTAATTCTGTAGTTTGGGAGACATCCATTCATAAAAACGGCTTTTCTGTACAAACATACAGACATCATATTTTAGACCTTCTTAAAGCTTTTTGCTTTGTTGTTGTTTCAATAAAGCTTTTGCTTCTGAACCTAGTTTAAGGCATCACCACCACCTCCCTTTATCTTTTTCCCCTCTTTTTTTTTTTTCTCTTCCAGGTTCCCAATAACATTGCATAAAATTCTAAAAACAATTCCGTTTCTTTTTCTCTTTCATTCACCATTTATCGAGGGACAGTTCAGTTGAGTTCAGTTCACAAGAACGAACAAAAAAATTCGAAAAAAATCTTTGGCTCTTGAATATATATATTATTCGTACCACTGGAAGTCCCAGTAAGAGTGAGTCCCTCTTCCCCTTCTTGTTTTTGTGATCGGATCTGAAAAGAGGACGACTCCCAAACCAGAAAAAGAGAGAAAAAGAAATAAAAAGCTGTTCCCAATACAAAGTTTATTCACTTTCTCAAGACTACTTCTTTGGATTGGAATAAAAATGAGAGATTGTTGTCCCCTGCCCATCTTCTTCCTCTGCTCCATTCTCTGCTAATCAGGTGCTATCAAGTTTCCTTCTTTCTATCCTTTCTTCATCTATTCTTTTCGTTCTATATCCGTTCTGATGTTCTGGAAAATAGAAGTAGAGATCTTTTAGTATTAGTATTTTTTTTTGGAAAACAATGTACTGAGGGAAGTCCAAGATTCTGAATTTGTGTTTCTTGCTTTTACTGTGTTTTCCTCTTGAGCCCATTTGGGTTTCTTTCTTTCTTTCTTACTGTGGATCACTTTCTTTGTTATTTTCTTTTCCGCGTGTAAAGAAAGATAATTTGGTTTCTGGGTTTTGAAGGATATTTTGAGAAGTGCATGTTTCAATCCTGAACTTTGGCGGATGGGTTCTTTTTTATTGCATCATTTTAATTGTTATGATTGATGCATTTTTAGTTTGATTATGTCTGGAATCTATTATATTGTTTGGGTTTGTTTTTCTATGAACTTTGGAATGATCTAGTGTTAATGAGCTGATACTGATGGAGGGATGGCGATGATATATAAAAAATGTACTTCCGTAGTTCACTTGACTTGACAATTATTTTCTTTTTCCGGATTGGCGTTCTGCTGATTATTACTATCCTTTTCACCAGGCTTTCTGTGTCTTGATGTTGAACAACTGAGTAATTTCTAGGATCATTGATCTCCTAAGTGATTTGCCAGTAGGCACACTTCATATCATGTAAAGTTGGGAGTGGCATGTTTTGGTGATAAGAGTTATTTTATTTACTTCAATTCTGATTTGAACAGGATAGCTCTCAACCCCAAAGTTTTGCCATGGAATCACTTGTCGATGAAGTTAGACCATTGCCAGGGCCAAGCAGTTCTGTTGCCAAAATGGGCTATAATAATCTGTCTTCTGCGTCTGCCATTAGTCATACGATGACTCATCTATCTCAAGCTGAGGAATTTGGGTATGGAGGATCATCATCAGCTTCTGCCTCTTACACGAGAGCAGCAGATAGTGGGGTGAAGGCTAGTCGTAGTACATCTTCAGGCTCTGTGATCAGCTCGAAGAACTCAGAGAAGACAAATCTTGTTCATCTGCAAAAGGATAGTTTTCCTGATTCGATGGGGCAACCGACAAAGAAGCCTGACCAAAGTAAGGAAGGGTTGTTAGGTGAGGATGGTCCGGATCAAAGAGCCGAAGGTAGTTCTACTACTCAAAGTTCAAAATCGGTTGTCCAACCTAGCTTAAAGCATTCTGTGAGCAATGATTCCGGAGATTCTTTTCCAAGTGACCTGTTGGCATCTGTGGAGTCCAAAGAAAGCGTTGACATTGTGAGCAGTAAATTGGCATCTCAACCGGGAGGTCGCTTCTGTCCTAGTCCTCAGAATAGCTTTTACTCTGCTACACAATACACTGAAGCCAAGCAGAGCTTCACTAACACAGAAATTAGTGAATATGCAAGCAGTAGTATCCGGAAATCTGGTGAAAGTGGGGAAGTTAGTAACTCTTTTGATTTTGTGGAGAGCAGAAAAACAAGCATTTATAGAGGCAGCACTGGTAGTGATGTCAGCGATGAAAGCAGCTCGAGTAGTTTCAGCAGCGCGAATTACAAACCTCACAAGGCAAATGACACAAGGTGGGAAGCAATCCAAGCTGTCAGATCCCGTTATGGATCACTAGACATAAAGCATTTTAGGCTTCTAAAGCAGATGGGTAGTGGGGATATTGGTATTGTTTATCTAGCAGAATTGGCAGGAACAAGAACTTACTTTGCCATGAAAGTGATGGACAAAGGAAAGCTAGCTAGTAGGAAGAAACTGGTGAGAGCTCAAACGGAAAGAGAGATACTGCAGTCACTAGATCATCCATTTCTGCCGACTTTGTACACCCATTTTGAGACAGAAAAATTCTCTTGCTTGGTTATGGAGTTTTGCCCAGGAGGAGATTTACATGCACTTCGGCAAAGGCAGCCTGGGAAGTTTTTTCCTGAGCATGCTGCCAGGTTGGATTTCCATTTCTCTACTTTCTGACTGAGCTTGAGGGGCTCTCTTACAATATCTCTTAGGTTTATGAATCAAATTCACTTTGAGACTGGCTTTTTCTAAAGCAGGAACTGTGCTTATGCAACCTAAAATATGTGTAGTGTAGTTGTTGCATGTCTAATTTGCTATTTTCTCAGCAGTTCTGGTTGTTTTTACTTTCTTTATTGTGGCTTTTCCGGATCGTGCCCTTTGAGTCTCACATTCTGCTCCACTATATTGATTGGATCTGCTATTTCCTGGCCTCCTCTGCGAACCATGGCTATATTGCTCTTCGTTAGGAATGGGGTTTCTTTTTATTAGTTATCATTTTGGAGTTTCCTCAGTGTTGATCTTCTGTCGTTCAGGTTTTATTGGTCACTCGTACTTCCGTTTTTTGGTGTTCATTTCTCTCGTTGAAATTGCAGTTGAACTTAAAATCCATATTGCTTGTGCTTTACCAATAGCCTTTTAGTTAGTTTTTCTTGTCAATAATTTTTCAGTGTTTCCAACTTTTACTACTTGATGATTGTAGTTTAGTGTAGTTATCCTGGCAGGAACCATAAAACATTTAGATGCGATTTTTACAGTATGTTAAGTATGTAAATGCTTCCTTGTGCAGGATTATATGTTGAAAACAAAAGTTTTTCACATATTAAGATAGACTGACTATGATGGCAACATATGAATCGGTATAGCTGATACTAAGTAGCAGGATGAATGCCAAATTTTTGCAGTTATTATGAAATACATAATCAGTACTGTAAACTGTGTTGCAAGTTCACTTATCCATATCTATATAAATTACTTTTGCAGGTTTTACGTGGCCGAAGTTCTCCTTTCTTTGGAGTATTTGCACATGCTTGGTATCATATATAGAGATCTTAAACCAGAAAATGTTTTGGTCAGAGAAGATGGGCATATAATGCTTTCCGATTTCGACCTCTCTCTTAGATGTGCTGTGAGCCCAACATTAGTGAAATCTTCAAATTCAAGTTTAGAATCCAAGAACTCTGGAGGATACTGTGTACAACCTGCTTGTATTGAGCCATCTTGCGTCATCCAGCCAGCTTGCATTCAACCTACGTGTTTCGCCCCACGTTTCCTTTCTAAATCCAAGAAAGAAAAGAAGCTAATGAAATCGAGGACTGATGTACACCACCAAGTGAGTCCTCTTCCTGAGCTCATAGCTGAACCAACAAGTGCCCGGTCAATGTCATTTGTGGGTACACATGAGTACCTTGCTCCTGAAATTATCAAAGGTGAAGGGCATGGCAGTGCAGTGGATTGGTGGACATTTGGGATTTTTCTCTACGAACTCTTGTTTGGGAGAACACCATTTAAAGGAAATGGGAATCGTGCCACTCTGTTCAACGTTGTGGGTCAGCCCCTGAGATTTCCCGAGTCGCCTACAGTCAGCTTTGCCGCGAGGGACCTGATCAGGGGACTACTTGTAAAGGAACCTCAGCATCGGCTTGCATACAGGCGTGGCGCTACTGAAATAAAGCAGCACCCATTTTTCCAAAGCATCAACTGGGCACTCATACGTTGTGCCAGTCCACCAGATGTGCCTAAACCAATGTCATTGCAGGATATGGCTAGAGTACCAAAACAACCGGAGTTGCCTGGTGTCGATGTGAAGCCATCTGGTAACTATCTGGAAATCGATTTCTTCTGATTATTTACAATTCTGTCAGAATGTCAATGTATACCTCTGGAAGTAGACAAGTTTGATGTTGTCCATATATGCTAGGGGCAAATGTAAAAGAAAGGAAAAAGTTGGTAAAAAAATCGTACGAACCATCTACTTTCATTTGCTTCTTTTCTCATTTATATACATTGTAATGCAAATAGGCCAGATTGATCCATCGCCATTCAGATGGTTGAAATGTTTATACTTTTGTGGTTAGTTTTCCCATATATATATATATTTTTTTCACTCAAAATCTGCATATAGCAGGTGAAAAATAAACAAAACTTATTCTTGGACGAAATATTGAATTTGTGGCTGCTGTTACCTAGAATCCTAATAAAATTGCTGTTCTTTAGTGGCAGTAGTAGTACTTTGTAAGAGCACATAAAGAGACAAATGGCTGAAATCATGGTGGTGGACTTGGGTAGGAGAAAATTTGTTCAACGTCAAAAATATTACGCTGTTGTTGTACTAGTTTGAAATCTCTCTATTTCCATTTCGTCATCCAACCAAAAAAAACCCAAAAAAATAAAATAAAATTTAAATGTCAATTTGATGGCGTTAAATTGGTTCATTTGTTGAGTACTCCATCTGTTTCATAATTATTGTCCAATATGAGTTTTCATTTCTAGTTCAAATTGTACTAAAAGTGAAATCTCAAACTGAACAATAATTTTGGGACATAGGGAATAAACAGAATCGAGTAATTTCGCCTTTCGCACAAAGGGTTCATATTTGTTTGCGAGAAAAAGAAAAAGTGTTCACATTTATCATACATTTTCCATGCAATTATTTTACTTTCCCAGGCTTATTTTGTGATGATGAGCATTTGTTATTTAAAATTTATTTTTATTTTTTTGAACTATTATTTTTCATAAAAGACTTTGACATTGGTGAAACAAAAATCAAAACTATCTGCCATAGCACATCAAGCCATCAAGTGCCCGTACAGTAATTTGCTTAAATATGGAGTGGCAAAATGTAATTTATGGATAAGCCTCGGAGGTAAAAAATTGATAACAACAGAAACATGGTAGACATGAAGTGCACGCGCTACCCATCGTCATCGAACCGGGTAAGTACCTCCCCGCCCAAGGCACTGGCCCCAAACCCCAGGGACCAACGTATCAGATTTGGCCTCTATTTTATTTTTCTTCAGCAAAAAAAATAAAAAATGAGAAAGTTATTAGTATGATTAGAAATATCTCACGACCAGTTCGAGTAATACTATTTCCATTTCCTTCATTTTTCTCTTCTCTTCTTCAAATTCAATCTCGGAAGCAAGCACTGATGACGTCAACGACCGAGAACAACTCTGCTCCCATTTCTTCCGCCGCTCCCGCGGAGAACAGCTCCGCTCCGAGCTATGCTGCCGTTGTCGCCGCCGGTAACGATGACGTCGACTCCAAGTTCGGTTTTAAGCGGCCCGAGATGTACCAGAGCAGCCTCGCCGGCTCCGTCCATCCTTACCAGCGCCACGTCTTCCTCTGCTACAAATCTCACGACTCGTGGCCTGATCGCCTTGAGGCCTCAGTCGAAGATCCTCTTCCCCAGCTCCTGGCTGCTGCTTTCAAAGCTCGCAACAAAGATATGAAAGTGAAGGTTAGTCCTTAGTCTTTTCCAATTTGGTAACTCAGTTTCCGGTCTACATTCTAGGATTTTCACTCTCTATTGCCTATCTTATATGAAGTAATATAGGCTGATTTGTTCGGAGATGATTCTCCAATTATTGAATTCGTGAGTTCGGGTAATTATTAATTATTCGTTGAACGTGTATAATAGACGCTTTTGACCATATGCGAGGGACGTGAGGACTTGGAATTAACGGATGGAGATGTATTGATTTTCCCGGAGATGATCAAGTACAGGTAGTTCACATACTCACTGCCGCCTCATTTTTGTGATATTTTTCTTAGTCAATTTTCTGAAAATGCATATCATCTTTGCATAATCTGATCTTATATGCTTAATTTAATATGCTCCATTTTTGTATTGGTTGCTTTCATGTTTGGAAGAAATAATTTGGGAATTCAGTATTACCTTCCATGTCATATTGATGATCTATCTGTCGTATTATGTGCTGTGCTTTCTTTTCACTAGTTTTTTTGTTGTTGAAGGGGCTTGAAGGAATCCGATGTGGATGGTTTCATTGATGATGTGCTTGTCAATGGGAAACCCTGGGCTGCTGGTGTGCAAGAGGTATTGTCTGGGTCATATGTGTTCGTGTGTGCCCACAATAAGCGAGACCGGAGATGTGGTGTCTGTGGACCAATTCTGATTGAGAAATTTAAAGAAGAGATTGAATCTAAGAATTTAAAGAGCCAGGTGTCTGTGACAGCTTGCTCCCATGTTGGCGGCCACAAGTATGCTGGTAATATGATCATCTTCAGCACCAATGCTGAAGGGGAAATTGCTGGCCATTGGTATGTTTTATTTGCTGGAATTTATGGTTTTTGGGCTATTAAATATGTGCAATTCTTTTTATCACGTAGTGTTAGAAAAGCTGTTTCTACGTAATGCTTTCAGCAAAACGTGAAGTTCTGAAAGTTTCTGTAGGGTTTTCCTTTGAATAATGTTTTCATGGGGATGCTTTGTTGATTTTGCAGGTTTGGATATGTTACACCTGACGATGTGTCTGATTTGCTTGATCGCCATATTGGAAAGGGAGAAATTATTGAGAGGATTTGGAGGTTTGCCTCTTGATGTTTCTCATAATGAATCTGTTAAAGACCCGCTGCTCTTTCTAACAGTGTTTTAGCATCTATTTTGCGTATGCCATCACTGTATTTCTTCTTTGGGTACCTTTTTCTTTGTCGGTTATGCATGCAATTAAGCATCCTTCCCAAAAGTTCTAGGGTTTAGCATGTATATACAGTATTAGTCTGCTACTTCGTAATAATAGTTGATACGTCTGTTGCTTACTTCAGGGGCCAAATGGGTGGCGTCGTTGAGAAAACTGACAGAGTGCCTGAAGTAAAGCTTTCAAATGGTTCTAGTATCAATCACTCTGAAGAGAAGCCAGAAGAAAAGGGTGCCAACGGAAGTAGTTTTACATGTTGCCAAGGTGCTACTGGAGTCTCGTGCTGTGGAGGTGGGGATTCTACTGTCAAAAAGGAACAAAAGGGGGCAGCAAACCTCACAAAGTGGATTGGAAAATGGGAGCAGCGTGATGTTTTGACAACCATTGCTGTGGTTGGGGCTGTGACAACTGTTGCTGTGGCTTTTGCTTATTTTAGGAAATCGCGGTAAACAGTTCCCTGAGCAAGTAATACTGTTCTGTTTTGATCTAAAAAGTTGTAAGCTGCATTTTTGAGGTGGTGAAGTTGCATCAATAAAGGTCGCTTTTAAGTACCGCAAACTTTAACAGTGAAGAGTAGGTACATATTATCCTCAATTCAGAAATGAAATAGAGCAACATATGGCGAATGTAGCCAGTTATAGTACTTTTGCTTATAAATAGAAGTTGCGTAATTTTCTTTTCTCGGTTGGTTTTTATGGAAGTGTATTGCTGCAATTAGCTTATCCGCATCGATAGCGTTTGGTTTGATATCTCAGAGAGCTATTTAACTTATTTTCTGACGGAAAACAGCTTTTATTGAGTGTTTTAAGATCAAATTTGGAAGATGTCAGTTTTACATGGCTCCATGTTAGAGAAATGCTTTGGAAGTTTAGATGGTGGGTTAATAGAATGGAACTGAAATATGGTATAATTTGTTGTGGTTCTGAAATCCATGAATGCTATTGCTCTGTGGTTTGTGTCCTGTAGCAAAGGTTGATAAATCTACATCATGCAGAACTTCACTTTTACCTAGCAGTCTTTTTTTCTTTTTGGTTTTCTATGTTTTCTGGCGATTGGATAGAGTGCTAAGAGTAGTATCCCCTCTGATTCCTATCTCGGTGTGAAGATTTGTGTCGTGGTTAGATTGGTGTGAACTCGCTAAGCCTCAGTCATAATCAGGCTCAACCTGTGTTTCTGTGTTTGTTTCGGCCATACCTATTACACGTCTAACTGTAGTAATTGACACTTCTGGAATCTTAGCAAGGGTAGAGGGTGGAATTGGTTGGTATAAGGAAATGAGTGAATGGAAGCGCAGCATAGCGGATAAAACTAAATTAATGGAGTTTGGTGAAGTCATTATATTTTACCATTTAACGTTTGGATGAGCAGCAATTAAATACTCTTAAAGGCCGAAAGACATCTTCCATCTGGCTAAAATCTGTAGGTTCTGGTTGGGTTCCCTTGTGGAGCACGTTCCAAAGCAGTCATCAGGTTTTAATCATAAGCCTTCAGCGTGAAGTACATGTGAACTCGAATTGGTTCACTTTTATTCCAGATTTGGGAAAATTCTTCCATGCTGTCGCTGGAGCCAGATAAAAATTTAAAGATTGAACATCAAACTTCCTAAAAAATGAGGCTTTATATCTCTGGAAATAATTCTGTACAGATGAAACTATATGAACGCTATCAACTAAGCATTCACTAAACAAACAATGTACACGAGTGCCTGCTCCATTGTACTGGAAAAAAACCTGAAGCCTAAAGTGCAAATTCTGGATTTTTTTTATTTTTCAAAAAATTCGAAAACAGGGGAATTTTTGAGTTCAGGTCCTAAGTTTTGCAATCATTTCCTCCACAATCCTCAGTTCTATACCGTTCCTCTCATCTCCGTCAATCTGACGCATTACACGTTCCAAGAGATAATTCTTGGACGATTGTTTCTCTTTTCTAACACAATCCGGAGAACAATCTCTCAGAAGCTGCAGCAGGGATTTCGCCTTCTCCCTCGCCTTAAACGTGCCATCAACACTCAATTGAAGCAAACCAGGGATTGCCCCTTCCCTCAAAATCATCCCTCTGTATCTCTCCCTACAACTTTGACACAAAACAAGCAAGATTCCAACGGCATGCTCTTTACAATTTAGCCTCCCTTCTTCAATGGCCTCCACCAGCAATTGAATCACTACAGAAGCATTCTCAGCAACCTCATTTAGCGCGATCTCAGACGATAACACGACCTTCTCCAGCAATGCCAATGCCTTCTCAGCCAGCCCGGATGATTTTTCCAAGTTGTATACTAAATGAAGCAAAGTACAGACCATCCCAGATGAAACAATGGATGGGATTATTTGAGGACAAGTAGAGAGATTGTGGAAAGTGGACAGAACATCAAGCTGAGCCTGAATGCTCAGAAATTGGGTGCCGTTTTCTGAGAATTGTGAGTTGAGGGATTGAATTAAAAGCTGGATTGCACCGGATGATGCAATAGCCAGCTTGTTGGGTGTAGAGGAAGAGAGAATCAACAGAGCTGCTACTGAAAGGTCAATCAGCACTTCTGACTGGTTTTGGAACTGAATTATGATGTTTAGTAAAGCTGGAATAGCCCCTGAGTTTGCAATCCGGACCTTGTTTCTGCACAAATCATCCCAAATTTATTAGCAAAAACAGGCAAAGGCTGCAACTTGTATTGCCAGTATTATTTGAATGATACGCATAAAAAAGAAGGTACCTTTCACTGTGAAAAGCTAGACTGAGCAGAGCAAGGAGTGCTGCTTCCATGGCTTCACAATCTTGAGTATGAAGCATCATAACAAGGCGAGAAATGATCCCCTTCTCTGCTAACTTTTGTCTCAGTTTGCTAGCCAGTTTACCAAGCTCCTTGGCAGCCATAACCTGAGCTTCCCTCTCATTAGAGAAAAGGGCTTCCACTATGAATGTTTCTTCTTCCATGGAAGCCCCTCTCTAAACAGCTTCTGCTTTCTCCCCCTCTTTTTTTCCTGCTCTTTAATATAAGAAGTATATGGGAATGTATGTGGTACTATATAATAATAGTACTAAATTACAATGTTGCTGTTGTTGTTGAAGAGTTGTTTGGATTGCTTCAAGGGGATGTAAGGTTTTTAACTTTTGGAACTAGTCTTTTTCATTGTTTTGATTAGAAGCAAACTTACTATTCCCCTCATTTCAGCTTTTTTATGTGTCATCCATTCCTCAGTTAAAGGTGGGGAAGCTGAGATGGGGAATTTCCTTGGAATACATCTTTCCCTTTCCCTTTTACAGAAGCAAGCTTATAGAAAAGGAAAGATTATAGATGGGAGATCCTTCTTTAAATAGTAGTACTATGGGGAGTATTATAATATCATTTTTGGGAAATTTCCTTTTCTCAACTCTAACTGATTAGTGATGATACCATATAGATCTTGTCCACAGCGAAAATCCCAATTTTTTTCTTAATGAAAAAAGTATGGAAGATCACACATAAAAAGTAGTATAGTATTCATTTACTATTGCAGAAAATATATTAACCAAAAAAAAAAAATAAAGAGTACAATATTTCACTGGAATTGTTGTTGATCTCCGGATTAAGATGGTTTCTGCTGGGGGAGTTTTCCCAGATGCACAGTTTACGTTCGATTTGGTACTATATACAAAAAAACATGGCCCGTATCTCAGTGCTGATTTATTTATACAGTTTAAATTCAAATAACCCCTCACATCTTTATTATTTTCAGTAATGACCCCCTAAATTATTACTTGTAGTGCACCATCGCCTCTATGCTTGTAAACTGCAGCAATTGACCACATTTTGACTAGTCCAATGAAATTAGTTTTTTTTTTTTTTTTGGTGTACATGATGGATAAACTGAACCAATACTCTTACAAAGTTGCCTATCCTGTCCATGAAGTTTATTTCCCCACTTCTTTTACCATTATCTCGTCCATATCTAACTTTCTACCCAAAAAAAAAAAATAAAAATCTAACTTAATATGTTCTCAAGAAAAGCCTTAGCAGTAATAACTACTTAACTAAATCAACCTTAAAAGCTTGCTTATTTCAAAAGAGTAATTTTATCCTGGTCATTTAAAGAAGTGTTAGTTACTCGTCATTCAAAATGGTGTTTGATTGACAAAAGAGGAAAACATGGAGATGGCAACTTGCAAAATAATCAAATTTGAGGAGAATTTGTTTTTGTGACTAAATTCGAGTGACAAGGTCAAGTTGCATTGGTAGCAGACTTTCTAGTGGCTCTGATTTGCTTAGGAAAATGGAAATGCAAATTTTTTTAGAAGTAGGAGACAGGAAGAGCAGCCTTTTCTTTTTCATTTCCTTTTTTAATGTGTATGCTCTCCTGCGTATATTGAGGAAGGTTTAGAGAGCTTTTTGTTTGGCCGTTATTAGGCAGCCGTAGTATGATCCCTTTGCCGCAGATTACGCTCATATCTTTACAAAAACTCTCATTGGGAGATGAAGGAAAGAAAGAAAAGAGAAAAGGAAGGAGAAAAAAATCATCATTGGGAGACGTATTCTTACCCACTGGAGAATTCCGCAGTTTTCTTTCTCTAAACATTCTTAGTACTTGGAGAAAAAAGACGGCTGAGAAGACGATTTAAGCGACTTCTTTTTGGATATTTTGTGGAGATGGACATTGGCCCTCAAATCAAGTTATGTATCTGGACCAGGATACTCAGCTGTGATCCGGGTGGATTGACACTTTCACAGGCGCCTCCGATAGAAACTCAGCTATAGTTAGATCATGATATTATCGGGATATCGTACCTTAGATTTTTGTTGAGCTAGCACCTCAAGCATATTGCCTCTTTCATTGTAAAAAAAAAGAAAAGAAAAAAGAACAAACTGAAATCTTCCCAAGAATGATGTACATACGTACCTTGGATATAAACTTCTCCAAGTTGGGAAACGCGCTAAATATAGAAGGATGCCACATCCGACTTGCTTTATCATAGAGGAAAGGCTCAACTGCTTCAATCTATTTGGTCGAGGATTAATCATGGATCCAATCAGTTGTTGTTACCTGGAGCTGTATATTATACAACCAAATTGAAAAGATTAAAACATTATATCATCACTAAATTAACCAAGAGACTAAAATTAAGATGAGACAGCGAGCACACTAACCGGATCACCCCCAGCCATATAAAGTAAGAATCTCTAGATTTGCGAGGCAGCTGGATAAGTAACTGAAATATTTGGTCAAATAGCCTCCCAAAAAGCAAACATCCACAAGCTCGGGCACATTTTTAAGGATGACTTCAGGCTTGTTTTCGCGGCTTCTTTCACTTTTAGAAACGATAGGATATGAACCAGAACGTCCGCAGGTAGTTGACTAATTCGATCCTCCTCCTGGTGCACCACCTGTTTAATAATAATAATAATGCATATATCAGAGAGCAGCAACATCATTAATTCAGTTCAAATTAAGAGGGGAACACAACATTACTTAAGTTTTTATTAGGACCAGTAATTAAAATTACAGTTACTACGTACTAGTGTAATTGGTGGTGGAAAAATCATCAAAAAGAGCGCTACAAGGAACATGCAGTTCTTAAGTTAACATTACTACTAGTAGCTCACCATCTTCGGCGTTACGGATTTCTCCCTTAAAGATTAAATCTCTTCGCAACTCAAATTTGTTCTGCGTTGGACAAAAGGCTTCTTCTGCGAATGAGATATAATTCATAAATTAGCAGTGTAAAAATTTCCCAAAAGGCACGGATTCAAGAATCAGTGAGAGATAAGGGCGGGTACCGGTAAGTAGACATTCAGAATCAGTATCTCTATTTATAGTGCCAGTAGGATTTTCCTCCAACCTAACCCATCTTAACAGAAGTATATCCACTATGGATTCCTTTCCAAGGGTTTAACAAGATTTGTATAACTGTTAGTATGATCGTCATTTGTTCACTAGTATCACTCAGAAAGTCAGAACTAATCTCTCTTGATAATTAGTTGTCTAATACACTAGTATTGTAACAGTTATTTCCATGAGAATTGAATTTTCAAGTAACAACCAAACCTGAGCCGAAAGTACAAGCTATATATATATATATATTAGTTAGGTAACAAAAAATTCCCTAATTAAAAGTTTACCAAACTCAACATGTACAACTTATAATATGTAAGAATCAGCACACGGCTCACACTAGCTATCACCTTCATTCAACACAATGCATGCTCTCGGAAAACACACAGAAATAACATAAAATACATAGACACGCATAAAGGAAGCCAAGAATCCACACGAACACACACAAAAAAATTAAGGGGCGCCCCTAAAAGAAGGGGAAAAAAAAAGTAAAGATAAGAGGGGCTAACATTTATCAATGGCGTCGTTGGCTTCGTTTATGTAAGGCTCTGGTTCTTTCACTTCTTTGTTGCAAGTATTAAGTTATGTATATAAGAGGAAAAAGCCCTCAAAAGTTAAAATCCTAATTAAAATCCCCTTTTTGTTTTGGTTTCCATTTATGCCGATTTCGTGTATCCAGAACTTTAGTTTCATAGTTTATAACAAAAGCCGAGTAGCCGACCTTTTATATCTTCTCACAAGGTGTAAAAGGCAATAAATTTCTTTTGGAAACTTTTTTAATTGAAATAATTTTTTATTGTTCTCCCTACTAATATATTTAGTGTATGTTTCTTTTTTCAATCTTATAATAATAAGATGAATTTCATTTGTAAATTTGTCTTCCACTAATAAAGAAATATTGCCTATTGCTACCTCATTTTCTGTTACACTTTCCTCTAACACTCCATGTAATACTACATATATAAAATGTGACAAGTGTCTTTTAATTTTTTGGAAAGAGAAAGTCGGTGTCCCTTTATTTAATTCTATCTAAACCAAACTCCACTCTAATTAACCAATCCATATTTACTTAAAATATTGAAAAATAAAATATTCTCTCTATCCTAAAATTATCGTCCAATTTAAATATTTACTTTTAGTTTAACTGTTACTAAAAATGAAAACCAAAACTAGACAAATTATTTTGGGATAGAGGGAGTATAAGATTACAATTATATATTTCATTCAGCGACTCATTTGGGAATCAAGAAAAAAACCGGCGTCTCTTCTTGCTTCAATTTGTCAAGGATTCACCGACTATTTTTTGGGTTTCCGGGCTCTTCCTTAGATATGGAACAATGGAGAATCATTCTTTCCGTTATCGGAATTGTTTCCCGCCGGCGAGAACGTTCAGTTTCCCCAATCGGTTTTGAACTTTGATCGCGGCTACATCTACTGCAGCATTCCTATGGAATAAGAAACAAAATGCCAGGGAAACAAAACAGATTCAGGACTTGGACGAATGGACAAAAGGAAAATCATTCAGTGCTCAAAATGATTATGCTGACAGAGAATTAGAAAGCTTGCCGTATCAATCTTTGGTGAAGACCATGAAGGTTCATTATGGATCAAGGCCTGACCTCAACAGTAAGCATATCATCACTCTTTGCTTGTTATGCACCACTCCCATTCCATAACAATACTCTTGTTTCTAAAATGGAGACTAATATTATGAGATAGACGGAGTACTTTGTTCTCGATTTTGATGATATCTATGAGTGTGACACTGAGTAATCTTGCAGGGATTCTTTTGGAGGCGAAAGGTTCAAGTGTTGGAGCTCTAGTGTGCGGTCCAAAGCAGATGAGGCATGACGTTGCGGCCATCTGCTCGTCTGGTTTAGCAGACAACCTTCACTTTGAATCCATCAGCTTCAGCTGGTGATTACTTGAATCTCTTGATTTGCTGTGGATTTAGATCCTGATGCTATCTTTTTAAGTATGTGTATCTGTTGGTGTGTTTGTGTGTGTGAGTCTATGCATAATGTTGACTACTAGATCAGTACTAGTGTACTAGTATACCGTGGTTTGAACTTTGTAGCATATTCTGGCTAAGGGATATACTAAATAACACAGTGAGATTATGAA